GCGATTAGGAAAAAATTTCTTCGAGAATGTTTTCAGACAAGAACAAGTAGATCGACCAAATTAAGGTATGCGATTGTGTGTGTTGGGAAAAATTGTTCTTGGTTACTAAGAAAAAAAGGAATTAAAAAGTCTAATGGCCTTTACCAAGTGAATAAATTGGATGACGTATACACATGTTCTTCAACAATTTTGTAACCTAATCATCGACAAGGAAACAAATATGTTCTGGGTGAATATCATGCTGATGTTTTGGCTGAAGATTATAGTAGAGTATATCGTTGACAAGATATTATTAATAATATGAATGCTCAATTGAAAATCAATATATCATACCATCAGGCTTGGCATGCGAAGCAATATGCACTGTTGTTGTTAAGGGGTACGATAAAAGGATTTTTTTTTTACCAAACTTCCGGCTTATTTCCACAACTTGGTCAAACAAAATCCGAGTACTGTGACACATATTCAAACATATGGTGATAATTGATTTGAGTTCTTGCATGTCGTACTTGGTTGCTCGGTTAGCATTATTATTATTTTTATTTTGGTGTACCTAACTATAATCAGTGTATTTGAATAGATATACAATGTATTGTATGTACGTGCTTTTGTCAATTCTTGTAAGCCGACCCTTGTAGTAGATGGAGCTCACTGAAAGGGCGATTTCAAAGGTACTATGTTATTTGCAGTTACTAAGGACAGACAAAACCAAATATTACCGGTTGCATATGATATATGCAAAAATGAGTGTACAGATTCTTGGACATGGTTTTTTCAAAAACTACGTAATTGGATAGGCAATACGGAGGCGCTTACAATTATATATGATAGGTCTCCATTTATAGCGATATCTGTTCCCAACATTTTTCCTCACGCTCATCACGAAATATGTAGTGTCCATTTGTATTTCAACATAGTAGCTAGATATGAGAAGAGTAAGACAGTTAAAAGAATTTTTTGGGAGGCTTGTAGAGCCTATACAATTGATGGTTTTAATGCTACCATGGACCTATGAAAAAGATAAAAGAACCACTATGGAAATACTTACAAAGTATAAATCCTGAAACTTGGTCTATGGCATATTTTAGAGGCAATCGATGCAATCTTATGTCGTCCAACGGTGCGGAGTCTATAAATGCATTACCTAGACATGCACGTAAGGTGTTAATACTGATGTTGATTGACTTTTTCGTGAAACAATGCAACAATGGTGGTTTCAAAGATGTAGCTTTTGCAGGTACCAAGTTCTAATATTAATGTTTGTGTTAAATGTTATTGATCTTAAATGTGTAATTTTGTCTATCTTTTTAACAGAAGCAACAACACTCACCCCTTGGGTCGATGATATTGTAAAAGAAAATAAAAATTCTTTTAGTAATTGGGATGTTCGCATGATCTCAAGTAAGAAATACGAGGTCAAAAGGAGGCACAAAACGTCATTGTTCATTTCCAACAAATGACATGTATATGTAGGCATTGACATATTAACGACATATCTTGTGGTCATGTCATAAGAGCGTTAACAATCAACAATTACCAAGACTGCTCCATGTTTGCATTAAATGCTTACCATACCGAAACATTGAGGAAATAATATGAGGAATCAGTAAACCCATTGCCAAAGACATCCGAATAGGAGATCCCAGATAATTTGATGATTGTTAAGACACTAATAATGGATAAACGCCAACAAGGCAGACCAAGAAACACAGTCAGCATTCCATCCCAAGGCGAGGGTCCAGTTAGAAGAGAGTGTTCAACATACAGTCGAGTAGGACACACAAGAAACAGTTGTTCTAGAAGGATGTATGGTAGTGGAGAAGGTCGCACGAGAATTCCTACTATGGAAACGACATTTAATATTAGGGCTCATGCGAGTTGCTCATAGTCCTATCACACCGATTTTGATTTAAAACAACCTAAATTAAAGAGTTGTTAATTTGTTATGTATTCTAATGCTTTATTAATTTTCTAAGATATTGTTCTTATGCTTTTTATAATTTAATTTAGTTTGAACATTATAAGAGCAAATGAAGTTTTTATACACGATTTTTAAAAATACTTGGAAATCAGTGGTAAACAAACATATTAATCTAAAAAATAGCAAACCCAAGACATGCTAATGTTACATCAAATTTTTAACTAATTATTAAAGTCAGGGAATTGCAATGGGTACTTCTCGTTCTCGATTGCTATATAGTCATCTCTAATTCTCATTTTATCTTCCAAACGATATATCCTTTTGCACCCTAAGATGCATCATCTCTGCATCCTTATCAGCAAGCCATTTTCAGTCATTTTGATAGTCTTCTTAGTCTTTTTTATCCATTATTCATGCTCATTGATTCTCTTTTTATTAAGGTCTATCCATTCTCGAGCTTATTTGCATTTCGATGCGATAACTTTACGACGTTGACTGAGAAGTCAGGATGACATTTTATCATGTTTTTGTTGTTCTTCATCCGTTTTCAATTCCTGAAAACTTTCATCCGAAATATATGGGCTTTCTGAGAAGGATGTAAAATAGGGGCCGACTAGATCATAGTAGTAACAATCTACTTCATTGCATGAGCGAATTTCAAACTTTGAGGATGAACTCATAATTAAGTTGATATTATTGTAGTTGGGTGGTGTTCTTGGAAATTATTGTTTACAAGTTGTAAGCTTTTTATTTTATTTTTTAAGTTTGAAGTTCTAATGTCAATAAACATGGTGTATTTGTTGTTATGTTTAAGGTTTTGAAGTTCTAACGTCAATAAACACGGTGCAGTCATTGTTATGTTTTAAGTTTTGAAGTTATTACTACATTATGTATGAAGTTATTATTATGTAACGCTTGATTTATAAATCGAACATTTTATATATATATATATATATATATATATATATATATATATATATATATAATCCAACTACATAGGATCGACACACGATCTCCAATAAAATTTTGCCACCCTTTAAAGAAACTTTAAAACTTTTTTTTGTCTATAAGTTCACGTATTAGTTGGCATGATACTAGATGTTCCATAAACATACAAACAACACAATCTCCCAACTCGCTACTTTGTTGGGGAACTTCTTTTTCCAAAATGAATTTCATATTCAATTGTATTCTTGGGATATTCCTCCTCTGCCAGTAATTAATTTTGTCTAAAAAGTTCGCCACCCCAGCTTCAAATTTGCTAAACGTTCCATCTGTAGTTCGTATGAATCAAGTGAATGATATGAAATTAGAGTATCAATCAAAGCAAGAACACAAAATGTAAATGTAATCTGTTTGACACTTTATTGCTTCTGGATGGATATACAAGATTAGAGAGTAAAGTGTTCTTAGGTTCACCAAAGTTACCCTATCTTCTAAACATACCACTATTTATAGGAGTTAACAGAAGCACAAAAAATATACATAAGGGTTGAGACACTATGCTTCGAACTCTAAAGATGCCCTTATGAAATACATAAAACGAATACATGAAAACAGACTTCGACACTAAACATGACAAAAAATGTTTCGACATCTCACAACATATTTCGAACCCAACATTCTCCCCCTTTGTGAGAAATATCGTATCTTAAGTCAGTAGCATATTTGTTGCTTGATGAAGTACTCTTCGAATATCTGAGTACCATATAATCATCTTGTGAATCTCAACTTTATCACCAGTTGTATTCCTTTTGCGGTTGTTAAGACGAACAAGGAGACTCGTGTGCTGTGAATTTGTATATATGTCAACATCTTCCACTTTGAACAAAAACTTTGTGATCTTTTGATTTTTGTTTTTCCCAACAAATAAAACTCCTAGAGGCTTAACACAAATATGTCTATCTTCAAAATTCTTCAGATTTCCTTAACCTTTCAACAATGATTGGAGCACTGTCACTTGTCTTCCCATTGCTAAAGCAAGCTCCACATCAGTTAAAGCTACACAATCGTAGTAATTGTGTATGAACGGCTTGATATGAGCAATAACCTATCAAGAAATCTTCATTCTTCTTTGCTATTGACTTTAAGTTTCGACATATCAGCACTACTCAAGATCTTCGCAACATAGATGAGATCATTAAGATTCATCAAAGGAAAATCTACCACCGAGAAGTCACAAACAACATTGTTAGCTCGAACCACATGATAACGGAAGTTCTGTAACAACCCTTCAAATAATTCATAGTGGGAAAAACTTAGAACTTTCACAATTTTTACTAAGGACCAGACATCCTCCTCTTTCTTCCCAAGGACTATATGCAATCTTAACTTAATCCTTTTTTATTCCTCATTGTCATCATACCTATCCACCAACTGATATTGAGTTGAGATAAACATCATGTGATTGATGGGAGATTCTAGTTGATTGAAGTCTAAATTCTCTATCTCATAACTTTTATTTAGTATTTTCTCAAAATCATACACCTCCTCTACAGAAGCAATATGTTTAATTGTCTCATAACAATATTGCTTGGTTGGATCGCCTTTTTCTAGACCTAGAGGATCGCCTTGTCTTTGCCTCAAGATGATGTTTATCTGTCTTTGTTTTTCAATCTCTTTCTCCAAAGCCTTCTTTTTATCTCCTTCAGAAGGAGTGACTTTGATACCCTTCCATTTAATTTCCATTTCTTCATTCGGTGGTAGAGGCTTTGCACTTGAACCGCCAATAGATGAACCAATGCCTATACCTTTGGTTAAAGGCTTTGAAGTCGTTGTTGTTGAGGTAGTTGTCATACTGATAGGAAGAGAAGTTGAAATTTGTGTTGAAATCACCTTCCCCACAATCTTTCCTTTAAAAGGATCCTTTGAAGAGCCAATCCCTTTCTCATCCATGCACCCCAGTTTTAACAGGTGGCGAATATGTTGGCATTATATTCACAAACTTTAGAAGAGGAGCAAGTTCGGCCTTCAGATTGGTCTCTAAAGAATAAAATAGTTGATATAAAGACTCCTGAGAAACGAATGATTTTGGAGAAGAATCAAGCTTCAAAATAGACTTTGTCAAGCTCACTAAAAATTATTCCAATTTGGCAAACACCTTCAAATCAGACTTTGTCTTGGAATCAACCGTATGATAAAGTGAAGTCAAATACTCCACAACCTTCTTGACATCATCAACAATAACAGCAACCTTGTTTTGAAGAGTTGAATAATTTTTATCAAGTTTAGCAACCTCTTTCAACATTTCATATTTGAGCTCTGCCACTTTAACATTGACAGACTCCTGAACCATATGCACTTCTTCAAAAAAGAGAATATCTTTCTTTGGCTACCTCTCGAAGCTTCTTTACCTCACACACAAATTAGAAGCAAGAAGCTTCAATCGATCTTCCTGTTGTCTTTCAAGATTTGCCACAACCAACTTTAACCGTTGCCCGTGTGATTTAACCATCATATATACCTCGATCCCATAAATAGTGTTTCGACCACTAGTGTCATCTTGAATCTGTAATAAGGGTTTCAAATTATGATTAAAAATCTTGAACTGCTTTCCTAACTTAAGCATATGATCAGGAATGTTGTCCTCCTCAGGGTCGAACTGGATATCAGCAAAACATACCATCACATCATCTTTATCAGGATTTTCTTCATGAACTTACTTTTCACCCTCAGTGGATTGAGAAGAGAAAAGAGAAGTATTGGGTTGATTCATGATGGTGTTATAAGTAGGTGATATGGTTGAAGCAGGTAACAAAGTGATAGTAGGTGTATGAATGGGTAGTTAGGAGATAGAAGTATCAAGGAGTGTAGTTTCGATGATGGATGATAAGATAAGAGAAATTAGAACAAATGAAGTTGTAATAGTAGGGTTACCTAAAGCTTTAGATGTTGACATCCCATTATCCTTATTGACATTTGTGTCCATATGAGATATGTTGATATGGATGCCTGCAGTTTGAACCTCCACCGAAACTGATTCAACCATCTAAACTCCGGGTGGTATGACTATGTTCTTTTTAGGGATGGAAGTAGTTGATGGACCACCTAAATTAGTGGTTGTGTCTGTATTAGATACTTTCATAGAGCCACTAGGACTTCCAGTTGCCTCAAAAGTCGACTTGACAGGAGAGTCCCTCTAAGGTGATACAAAGCCAATATCATCATTTCAATGAGGAGATTGGTTACCATCATCTTAGAAATAACTCTCATGAACAACCTCATCCATATGATCTTCCAATTTCTTATTCATCTTCTTGATTTTATTTACCATAGCATATGTTATTCGTTTCTTTGAAGCAGGAGTAGGAATTTCTCTAATGAGCACACCCCTTCGATTGATCTGGGGTTATCTAATCTTCTTGATTTTTGAGACAAAATCCTCCTTTGGTAAAGAAAGAGACTTCTCAGGAACTTCATCAACTATAGTTTATTCTGGTGAATGATGAGGTCTGTGTGTCAGTTTCTTAATTTGCTTAAGAACTCCTGTTTTGTAGGAAACACCTCCTTTTGATTTTCTTGAACAACAAGGCCTTGAATAGGCTTTGTAACCTCCTTTTCAACTGGCAAATGATTAGAATTAGGTTGTGAAACCTTTGTGGATTTCTTTGACCCTTTACCTAGTTTCGATGGAACTTCAATTCCTTTAGGCAACAAAACCCCTATTTACATATCAGGGTTGACAAGTGACAGATAAGTAACAAGAATTGGATTACTTGGATCCAACTTTAGAAGCATGGCATCAGGAATTCGTGCTACTAAAGGAAAAATGATGGGATCATCTTCAACACTTTTCGGATGTTGATAGATAGAGAACTTTGCTTTTGGAACATCAAATCGAATGATAATTCCTTCTTTCTCATACACCTCTTGTAGAATCAAACTCCAGTATCTAGCACAAGAAGCACCATTCGTAGCATTGTTGTGTGAGATACTAGTCCCAAACTCTTCCCATGACTATGTAACATAATCCACATTTAAATCATAGTATAAACCAACAATCAATGCATATATCTCCAACTTGGATTTGTCAAGACCAACACTTCGACCTGTGAGACAATGGAGAAAAATCCCAAATAGGAAATTCCAGATACAAGGCAAAGAAGACTTCTTAAACTGCCTAATTCTGGTGAGTGGGGGTTGATGACCCATCTCACTAAACATATGTATCACGTGGTCATTCATCACTTCATAAAACGAACCAATAGTTGGAAGTTTCATAGTCTATGCAAAGTGTTTCTTCGTGATCTTATACTTCTTTTTGTTTGTAAATTGAAACATCACGACTTTGGAGGTATTATTGAACAAAGAATTAGAAAAAACCAAGGATAACCAGTTCATGGGCACGGAAAAAGAAGAAGTCGTGACCGTTGATAGCATAGAGTGATTAAGAGCAATGATCAACATTTGGAATTCTTCTGGATATTTGGAAGCATCTGGTTGAAGTCGATAATTGGAACTCTGAATCTTCAACAGAGGTTGAGATGAAGCTTCATCCGTAGTTTGTGATGGATCAACATTACCAGTTTGTGCCGCCATTGTTAAGGTTTGAAGGATTGCTTTGAAGTAATGAGTAGATGAAAGACGATTCGGGGAAAAAATGAAACCAGATCGCGTAACGGTTTAATTGTAGTGCACCAAATGCCTTTTATACTCAATGTAGAATTTTGAATTTAAAACAACCACCATTAAAAATTTTCTGTATGGAGTGTAGGATAGTGGGCTAGTTGCTGTAAAAATTGCCACGTCTGAAAAGTAATGAACACTTTTTCCTGGAAAATCATGAAGTAACCAAACCGTCACATCAATCAATCGTTTTGTGTGCCCCAAGAGGATAAGAAACGTCATTAGGCCTTGGTTTCAAGGCAGGGCTCATTCACTTTTAGGATGAGAAACGAAATCGTAGCCAAACTTGCGAAATCTAGGTTTGAGTTGGTAGTACCCAAGACCCCGAGGATTTCTTGTGCAGATGTGTGTCAAAGAAATAAGGGGATCCAAGGAAAAAAAATGCATATAGTGACATCAAATAAACATTCGATGTAAAATTAGATGGATCCCGGGAAAAGATCACTTCATTCAATATCAAGAGAGGTATCGAACTGCTTGTGTGGTATCCCCTTAATTACAATCGAATACTCGTAAATGAGTATCGAAGGGCTTCTTTTACATAGCTTCGAATGTAGGCTCAATTTTGTACATGATGAAAACTTAACATAAGTGTAACCACTAGAAAAACAGCCTTTTACGACGCTCATTGCGCGTCATAAAACGCTCAGACGACGTGCAAATGCGCGTCAAGGAAGGACCTGTCATAACGAGAGACGACACGCTTTTGCGCGTCGTCTAGAGACGACGCGCATTTATGACACGCAATGCGTATGATTAAATTCGCTGTCAAGAAAGGCCATGTCATAAATGAAGATGACACACATTTTTGCGTATCGTAATTTTTATTTTTATTTTAAAAAAATTTATTTATAGATTTACTTATTTATAAATTAAATTTGCATTTCATGTCAAATAATAGAAAAATAAAATACCATATACAAAAAATACAATCCATTTCACAAAAGTTAATGTCATACAAATAATCATTCCAATACTAGACAAATATAATACATCAAATGTGTTGTTATTTTACACAAACACATACACATAATCTATACAACTATTTTCATATAAGGTAATAATAGACTATAACTATTGAAAATCTATACAACTAGTGTTGTTATTTTACACAAACACAGACACATAACATTAAAAACGTTAGAAAAACAACAGGAAATAAAGTAAGTTAGAGAGGAAACATGTTCTTGAGGTATTTCACCAAATCTTGAAAAGACTTGGTTGATAAGGTGATCTTCCTGAAGTTAGATAGCATACCAGAGAAGACATAAATCTGATAGCAAATTAGCACGCACCCATCTTAGTAACAAAGTTAAAGGGAATATAGGTTGCCATTCGGACAACCTGTCATTGTGAATAATAAATAAATAAAATAATTAATAACTTTAAATAGAAAAGATAAAATTTACCTGTCCAATTCCAGTACTTTCATCTTCAAGATACAAAGTTATATTGTACCTAAATTTGAGATTAAAACAAAAAAGATTTCTATTGATTACGATAATCTAAGAAACCAAAGAGGTTATTTTATTTTTATTTTTTACCGAATCATCTTAATGAGCTAAACACTTGATCCAGACAGCTATATACATGGCTCTTTCTTTTTGACTAAATTTGAAATTAATGACTTACATGGTTAAGCCAAAAAAATATGGCTTAATGTATTAAGACACTAATCCCTCACCTACTTGTCATTCTTTGTTTTTCCTCCCAACTCATTTCACGTTAAAATTGATGATTTTTGTTAAATAAATGAAAATTGTGGAATTTGTTTTTTGGAATGTAATGGTAAAATGGTAAATGTTTATTCAATGTAGAAAACAAGCAATATTTATGTATACACCATTTTATTCAGGCATACATCATTACTCACTCAGTCACTTTACATACAAGACTTAATGGGGGAAAAAGAAAAAGAAACAACCCTTGTGTAGATAAATACGACATACCTTCTTGCCAATTCTTAGTGTTATCTGATGGATGCCATAGAATTTGGTGATCAAGGTGTTATCATGCGCATGCACATGTTTGTAATAGCTAGGAAGCATCTTGAGTAAAACCTATAGAAAATCACATTATCATATAAACAATATTTACTTTTTGTTCAGAAATAAAATTCTCAATATTAATCAATTACATTTAGCCATATTGAAAGTTGGTAGTTATTTCTTACATTTAGCCATATTGGAAAAATGAGGATGAGCAATTAAAGGCCTAAGTGAGGTAGCATACCTGGCAAATTTCTATCTGCTTCATCAACTCCTGATTCTTATTCTGAAGATCATTAACCATTGAAGCCTTTCCCAAGGCAACCTGCATAGTTCTCTCAGCGTCAAGTAGAGCAGCCTCTTTTGATTTAGTCAATCGATCTAATGCTTTATTGTCATCTTGCAGCTTAGCAATCTGAAACCCAAAAAAGGGTAACACTATAAATGTTTACATTTTTATGCTGTGCAATGCAATGCAGACTGTACTTGTATTTTTGCTTTAAGGATGCATTCGAACTACTGATGACAAAAGACTAAAGAGAAGAGTCGTGAGCAACAAACCTCTTGTCGAGCAAGCTTTAGCTCAGCATCTAGTGATTGAATAACATGTTAATCAATTTAATTAACCGAGTAATTAAGAAATTTTTAAACAATTCCCATCTCAATATTATGATGATTCTATATCAATACATAGTTATATATATGCTGGTTATTTATAAAGTTTATTGAATTCACATGGAAAAGTTTGCAGGTGCATATGTATTGTTATTTAAACACTTAAAGTTTTTATTATGTAGAATATATCATTTTTGAGGTTTAAATTGTTTTGATGAGACTTAAGTTATATAAGTTAGTAATAATTTTTCCTTTTTTCCAACTACCCTCATAAACTGAACCGTCGGACCATGTGTATTTACCCTTACCATGAGGAATCATTCCCTTGACATTACCATAGTACATATCTCCTTTTAGAAGGATCTCCAAACTCATGTTGATCTTTTATCAGTTTCTTATGAGCTCCTTGTATTAATAACACCTATTACAATGAAATTCATGTTTATATGGCATCTTAAATCAAAACAGTTTATCAAACCCAAGTAGGAGTTGTCTTACAATACTGAAAAGAATATTGGAAACAAGCAACCAGACCCCTTAATTGTAAAACCATCCTTGTTTTTTATTCATGTACTTACATATTATACCATCTGTTAATCTTTGACTGTTCATGTTTTGCACATACAATGAAGACAACAGCGGTTGCTAGTAATCCCAGGTCTTTTGGTTTTCTCACTGTCCAGATTACTCTTCAACAACACATATAACAGGGTTTAATTTTGCATTTATGGAAACGGGATGGAAGGGGCACACACAATAAATGATATCTTCAATATCCAGACTTGATTTGTACGGTAAAAAATGTTTTCAAATATGATAAATAGTTAAGAAATAACGTACGTGATAGTGAGCAAACCGTCGGGCGGTGGCCGGCGTGGAAAGCAGGGAAGTAATGTAGCAGCAGATGAACGGATGGGCAAACGAGCAAAACCGGGGACCGCCGTTTTAGGTTTCGTGGTGTTTATGAACATTCTGAGAATCGATAGTAGTGATTTATCTCCATTCTCCAGCACAACTCACACAAATTGAGAAGGCGTTAGATTTTTACCATTAACGATGA